GCTATTTAGCTCTGGAAAAGTTATTCCTATTGAAAGTAGAGGAAGTTGGAAGCCATTTTGATTAGCACTACAAAGTTGTTAATTTGATGCAGAGATGCAGAGGGTTTCAACAGGGGCTAATACTACCAAGAATTGTAGAAATATGTGCATTTCTCCATTTGCAAGATCATTCAGAACAAAAAGTCTCTTGGTAGATGCTATCTTTGCTGAAGACCCTATCTTTAACAATTCCGTTAATCAACCTATCTGTAAATTTTCAGAAAAAAACATTTAGCCATCAAAGAGTAAATGCTTAGTAAAAAGGATACCATTTATTCATTTATTCAGTTTGCAGTTAAGTAGAGATCTCCATTCAGCTGTGACATAAAATTGATGCTTCTGCAATAAAAGTACATAGTAAGTAGGTTCTAAAGTGTTAATAAATTACTAAAACTGTTTGAGGAAATTATTAATCAAATGTTATTGCCTGTTACTGAGTCCAAGGATGTAATGAGTCATTTGCAATCAACTACACCATCTGAAATGATTGCTCTTGGGATAAGATACAGAACTTATTTCTCCTGTGTCTAATAAGCTTCTCATAGTTACTAATCAACCCTTTGAAAAGAATTATGAAAGCAGTGTCAGAAGAACATGTACAGAACACTTCTGCTCATCTGTGGGACAAAGTAAGGAATAACTCCAAGTGTGACCTATAAATGAAAGGGTAAAAAAAACCCCAACTCTCCTATTTTTTTCTAGAAGTATGTAATCACCAAGATGAGAAGGAAAGCCCATTGACGCCCTAACACAACTGTGCACAGATGAGAAAATCACTCTGTGAGCCATCTCATGTACTGCAGGAAGCTGCTGTGGGCAGACACAGAGTCAGAGAATGTTAGGGGTTAGAAGGGACCTCAAAAGATCACCTAGTGCAACACCCCTGCCAGAGCAGGATCACTTACAGTAGGTCACACAGGAACACGTCCAGGCAGGTTTTGAATGTCTCCAAAGAAGACTCCACAGCTTCCCTGGGCAGCCTGTGCCAGTGCTCTATCACCCTCACAGTGAAAAAGATTTTCCTGTTTTTGTGGAACCTCCTATGTTCCAGCTTGTGCCCACTGCCCCTTGTCCTGTCATTGGACATCACCGAGAAGAGCCTGGCTCCATCCTCCTGACACTCCCCCTTGACGTATTTATAAACATTTATGAGATCACCCCTCAGCCTCCTCTTCTCCGAGCTAAAGACACCCAGCTCCTTCAGCCTCTCCTCAAGGAGAGTCCAGACAAGCATACACATGTAACTGTTGCTAAAAAGGGAATCCTTAGCATTGGATTCTTCCCCCTATACTCCCAGCTGCACAAAACACCCTTGTACTTCTCTCTGTAGTACTAAGATGACCATTATCACTGTGACACATTCATTTACCTTTTAGCATCCATATTTTTTTGTCAGTGAGGAAAAATCCTACTTCCTCATCCTTTCTGATTTTTTGATTTTTTTTTTGCTCAATTCACATTTTACTGCTAGTGTTCATGTATGGCAACAAAGGCAAGAAGAAAAAATGTCGTACATGTTGCCTCATAACATGATACTTATATGACAACATAATCTAATGTGATTGCTGACAGTCCATAATTACAAGCCAAATACTCAATGCATGAATTCCTCCACCCCATTTGTGTGCTCACATACAGTACCACGTATCAAGATTGGGGCTGAAATGTGGCAACACACTTTACATGTCTCTCCACTGTCATCTCTCAGCTGCCACAGCTGAAGATTTCAACACCAAACAATTACAGCTCAAGCTGGAAAATGCAGACTACTCTATACTGAAACAACTTTTGGAAAAATATTACTAGTTTTTCCTCTTCTATCCAAGCTAAGAATACCTGTGGCTTTGAAAAGGCAGTAAACTACAATAATAACTCATGACAATTACTAGAGGTGGAGACAATCCAGTGCACTTAGGCAACATACATCTGCCTTCTCTGAATACACAGTGCTCCCACTGACCTTGGCAGGGATTAAAATGCATGCAAAACCAAGTACGAAAAATGGAAGCATATGTTAGCCCTGAATCGATGCTGTTATTGCAAATGGCTGTTTTGAACAGAAGAAAGGGTGAGTACGGCCATTAGAAACAGTATGCACTGGTATATGGCTTCCTGCATATATTGCATCAATTATAACACACTGTTTTTGAGAATTCATAATGCCTCATTATTCCATACGCAAAACTACAGATGTGTATTACAACTAATGTTACAACAGAAAATATCTAAAAGAATATACCTCACTGGTAAACACAGTCAGTACCTCATATCTGCTTTCTACTAATATGTACCTAAATGAATATAAAAATATCATATAAAACCACTATAGAACAATTGCATGAACTTTCTCTGAGAGATGGCAGCTGAACGATTTTTCTTCTGAACGGCAGATCTGTCATTACTGAATGTAGTAAATATATCTGGCATACAAAAGATCATCTGTGAGATCCCCTGGCGAATAAAACTAAGGAGAAACCGTGGTGTAGTTCATTCTGAATAGGAGCAGATGAAACTAGCCGTATTCAGTAGGTTGCTATCACACTTCACTCTGTTCACTGAACTTGCTGTAATTCTAAATTGGGAGAAATAGAAAAAAAAAGTATGATAATGTTTTCCTAGAATATCATGCAAAAGCAACAGATGAAGCAGTGCTGGCTTGAAAATGCCACCATGTTAAAGACTAATAAATCGAAAAGTTATTTATGATGAGAATGAATTTCATACAGCAACAGATGGGTTTCTTATCAATTTATCAACATAAAAATGAGAATTACAAAGGTGATAAGAGCACCTTTGCATTTCTGAAGAGCAGCAGAGATGAAAAGGAACCGTGAAGCTCTCTTGCCTCTACTTTTCTGCTAGTGAGAGACCTGCTGGAGGAGGAATTGAAAAATAAATCAGAACATACCACTTTCTGTAAATCTCTGCCTCCTTTCTCCTAGTTTTTTCTGTCCTATCCTATCCTATCCTATCCTATCCTATCCAATCCTGCCATTTTTTCTTTATGGAAACACCCAAAAT